CCCCAAAACCCCAAAACCCCAAAACCCCAAAACCCCATTAAAGAGATTCTATTTATAATAGTGATAAGTCATATTTAAGTATTAAAATTTATCAATATGAAAAATTAATTTTCTTCAATAGAACCATCAAAACTATTAAAATATTGAATTGATTCAAGCTCCTCTACGTTTATAAAATAAAACATAACTTGCTTTATTTACTATCGACTCTTTATCTTGTATAGGATTCACATGGCTGTCGTCAAATTCATACCATTCACTATTAATTGCATTTTTAGCATATGCAGTGTAGTGACCACCATTAAGACTACCAAAGTGGTTGCTAACAGCATAGAGATCATAAATCGAATTTTTCTTTTCTTAGGAAAGTATTTGCTTGCTGAGGTCTAAGTTTTCTACAGGAAATTCTATTATCTCCTCTAGTTTTCTGGAATAAAGTGACTTTGCATGAGAAAACCGTTTAAGATGAACGATTAGATAGTCTGGACATTTATATATTTCCATTTTTTTCAATGCTATTTAATGACTCTTACAAGTTGGGCAATACCACATGTCGTTTCCTGTCAGAGTCTCTTCTTAACTAAACCAGTTGAAGCAATCATAAATGGAAATAGCATTCTTGATTTTAACTGGGTGCTTTTTGAATAAAATTGGCTGATACGTTTCATGATCTTTGTATTATATATTTTGAAGTTTTGATATGTCTAAGCAGGAGTTAGGATTAAATATCAAGGCTAGTTCTAAATCTAAATTCTTCTTAACCTTACTAAGAACTTGTCTCATAGTCATCGAATCCCCTAAATCAAAACTACAGTTCGACCCTTTATGACTTTTGTTGCAAAATGCACAACTTTCCTATGTTGTCCCAAAGAAAGTACCTTCTTCAAAAGGCATATTATTGAATATTTGTATCTGATATGGCTGCTAGCTTTTATTACTTTTATTTTCGAAGAAAAACTTATATTCTTCTTCAATTTGTCTACTTTCATTTAGGAATTGTCTTTCTTTTTCTGATAGTCCCTTAATTTCAGGCATATCTATCAATGGCCTGAAGTATTTATATATTTCTATTTTAGCCTCTCTTACTGTCATCCTTCTTTCTAAGACTATAAGCCTTGAGTAAGAAATACAATGAGGATAACTCATCATTGTCCAGCCCCTTTTTATCAAAAAGAGTTTAAGTTCCATGATAAAACTACCTTCGACAATTCCTAAAGGCCTTTCAAAAACTACAATCTCTTCACCTTTTTCAGTTATATTCTTTACAAATTTTTCTCTATTAATGACATCAATCTAATCTTTTTTCTTCATTAAACCAATAAAGAGATCTTACATATTTTAAACATTAAGAATATCTTAAACCTTCTACTTTAAGTCTGTTACAGAGTCATACTCGCCTACATTTATTTTGAGAAGTTTATGTGGTTGCTTAAGAGAGTATGGGAAATATTTCACATTAACTACATTCTCTTTGATAATAGGGATAGGAACACTAAGCATGTTAAATGGGTCAAATGAAATCGATATTTTACCACAGACTGTACATTATACCCTTGATTTAAGTTATCCGTAAAATAGTTCAATGAATATAGATCGCTCTCTTTTTTTAAATCCATCCCAATATTCCTTGCTTACTTCTTCATCTGATCTATTATCATAGTCTTTTTATTCTACATAGGGTTTCTTTGTAACATCATTAAGATCCTCATGCATGGTTTCCAGCAAAAATGAAAGGATCTCTTGAGAATCATGTTGGGCGAAGCCAGAGAATTAAACAGCTCTTCTTGAAATAATGTTTTTAACATCCCAAGGCGCAATACTATTTTCATGGCCAACATACATTTCATATAGAAGATCAGAAAATGCAATTGCTAGTTTACCCTGAGTTCCCAAAAAGTTATTCTTGTTGATATGAGATTAGTAGCAATCAAATATCAGAAATTTAGTCAGAGGCTCAGTATTAGACAGGCATTGCAAGACACTATTCATGTAGCATGTATTCCCCAAATTCTGGAGGCCAGTCAAACCACCTTTAGAGTTCTTTTCTAAGCATTTATCTAAAGGTAAACTCATTAGATATTCTTCTTTTAAATTCTCTGGGTTAATATCAAGTAGGAAATTTTTGTTTTACTTGCAACGTTCTTATTTCTTTTAAGTTGGCTAGAACGAATATTTGTTGTTTTTAGTCAAAAATGACCAAGCTTAAACTTCATAGAGTAAAATATCGTTTTCAGAAATGTTCAAATCTTCAAGCAATTAGTTATCCTCCAATACTTTCCCATCTATTTACAAAGGCAAACTTTCTTTTGATTCACATTCATAGTACTTTTCTACATCATACACAGTTTCACTAGGATCTAGCTTCCATAGTCTAGACATGTCCATCAACTCAATGATAGATCTTCTCTCACCTTAACTGTCTCTTAATACCTAAGCAATTTTCTTTCTCAAATCTAAAACTGATGCTTGCCTTGAAACATAGACAGCAGCTGCTTATTTCAAATACTAATGTGTTCTTAATTTTGGCAGAATATAGATCATAACCTTTTTATACAGAACTTCTACAACGAATTCATCTTTTTTCTAGGGCTCCTATTCAAGTTATGGTATGTTTTTATTCAAATTTATAGATTATCTGGGAATATCGTTTCCTCCATAAGTCTCAAAGAGAATTTTCCAGACATCATCAGAAACTAATACATAGTCTTAATTCTCAACACTGGACGTCAATATTTAATACTCTTCATCTTAATTTTCGTATTTTGCTTGCAAAAATTATTCTTGCAATGTGAAATTCTTGACTTGATCTCTTTTGTTAATAGGGCCAGGGTGTGGGAATTCAATAGGTTTTATCACTTCTGAGATAACTGTGTTAGTCTCAGTTGAAGGTTCAATCACTGATTGCTAATCTAATTGGTCCTTTTTCTCTTCAAATTATTCAGACATGACTGTTATATAAGTATGTATATTATTAAAATATAAAGTTTCGAAGATTAGCCTAAAATAATATTAGGAAAATTAATCTATACCTATTCCATCAAGTATTTTCTGATGATTAATTAAAAGTTTAATTAGGAAGGTTTCAATTATTATTTTATCAAATTAAATGGTTGAAAGATTTTCTGACACATCGATAGAAGATATCATCAATAAATGGCTCGGATCTGATGAGGGAACATTTTACATTGATAGAATTCCCTTCATCTTCGAAGGAGTGACTGATGGAAGATTAGTGATGGATATTGATGAAAAGAAATTGTTTATGAATGTAGACAAAGATGATGGAATTCGTAAGTTTACAGATTTTTCTAACATGATTTTTGTAGCTTATGAAGTTGAATGCAGTAGTCAGAATAAAAAAGTGATTGAGTTTATTGAGAGATGTAACGAGAAATTAGTTATGAAAGAATTGAGAGATTTGAATGTGGCTATGGCATTTTTACTGGAGCAGTATTCTCAAATTGTCAAAAGCAAAAAGATAGTATTTCAATCAGATGTTGAAATGAATGAAGGTGACGACAATGGAGATGTTTGGTGGGGTGAGGATGATAACAATAATAATGGCAATTAAGTCTATGACTCAGACATGAATAATGCTGAAGGAGCAGAAGATGAGGAAGTTGCAGATTGGGGATTAGAAGATAACTAAGTAAGTGAGAAAGATGAGTACTTGCAACAAATCTTAGAAGACTATCAACTTGAGAATGCGAATAAATTGAAATTAGGTGGAGCTCTAATATCATCCTCGCTACCTTCGACTGTCCTCAATTACAAGTCAGTTTAAATGTTTGAGAAGACCAAGCTTTATAAAGAAGCACTTGAGGCATTAGAGTATTTAGCTCATAATGAGAATATAATTCAAGGTTGGCTAAACCTTGTTGTAATAAAGGAATTCCTAAATATCAGAATGGAAATCGACTTGAATTATATTGATATTGATTCAAGTAATGTTACTATTATGGGCTGGGACTTAGAAGAACCTCTTATTATAACTCTAGATATCTCAGAACCAAAAATGCTTAATACTGATAATAATGGCCTGGCCACTCTTGATTTCGCTGAAATGAGATTTAGAAGCATGATTTAATTCCAGGTAAAATTAAGATCTTTATAATTGTTTAGACTATCAATGCAGGAAACACTTAGAGTTTCGGGTGCAATGATTTCATGAGGTATGTTATACAAAAATTCATTGAAGAAGAGCTAATCAATAAGTCAACTAATGATCCTCAGAATTAAGAAGAGTATAAAATAAGTTAAGATAAGCCTAAAGTTGTAGCTCCTAAGGAAAAAAAATCTCTCTGGCAAAAACTATTCTCAGGTTCATCTAAACTTCAGGTTAACGAAATTCATCTAAATAAATTGCTTGACATGGGTTACGATTTCGAAATGGCTAAAAATAGTCTAATCAAGGCTCATAACGATCTAGATAAAGCATTAGAATTCATTGCTGAAGATGTTACTGGTGTGTTTTTAGATCAAAAGTAATAAGTACCTAAGACAAAGAACAAGATTATCAAGATGATGCTCTTTATAACTGAGTTGATAGAGTCAGCAACAAGCTCATGCCTATTGTGCCACAGTCCACTCGTTTCAGATAGTATCAAGCTAAGAACATGTGGTTCAGATCACTGTGAATTTACGTAAGTTAATTATTCTCACTCAATATAATATAGGTTTGAGGAAAACTTTGGAGGAACTATATTTTCTGAGATAAAGTATAACACTGAAGAGGCCATTCTGGATATTTCTTTATCAGCTAAAGCTTTATTTTCATCTAGAGCTGGCTAAGTTTTTGAGCCTTTTCCAACCTTTTTCTTGAAAGGCACAGAAATGAGAGGAAAAAGAGGGAACTTAGATTTGATTTAATAAGCTCAAAAATTAGGTTAGACTGTAAGCAACTCTAAGAAAGTAGACGAAAAAAATAAAGATATTTAGAGCATGATTAACATTTTAATCAAGCTACCAAAAGTCCAAACTCTAATTTAGAAAATTGAGAATGAGTAATAGTTAAGAGCTAAGCTGAATGAAATTTACAAGAGTGAAAAGGATGGCTGGAAAGCTTACAAAATCCTATCCTATATATTTGCTACAAATCGTACGACTATTAAGAAGCTAGAATTTGAGAATCAGATTGACTTTTAGAAAGAGATAGAATCTAATGCTAAACTAGATTAATACATTCTAATATCACAAGACCCTCACAAAGAAAGAGTTTTCAAATCTAGAAAGAAGGAGTATGGTTCTGTCTTCTGCTGGCATGGAAGTTCTCAAGAGAACTGGTATAGTATTCTCAGAAATGGACTTAGAAATCTTAGCAACACCTAACTTATGACAGCTGGCGCAGCATATGGAAATGGAATATATGCTTCTTCAAATCTCTCCACTTCATCTGGCTATACTATGAGATATTCTAACGGCCCAAAGTTTTGGTAAAACATCGGAGCTAATTTGCATCAGAACTATGTTATAGCTATTTGTGAGATCATTAAAAAGAGCACTTACAAAAAGGATGAAAACTACAACATAGTTGTTGTTCCAGATGAAGATGACATTATCCTTAGATATCTCTTCATTATAAAGCATGATTAGTACTAAGAACTCTAGTCTTTCAACTCTTTGAAAATAAATTTCGAGAAGCACTATTACAATCAGCTAAAAACAATAAATTTAATATAACTTGACAAAAGAAAATTACGAATCTCAAAAGCGTTCAAGAAATACCAAGAAAGAAAATAAGTTGAGCAAAAGGAGCTTGAAAAAATTAAAGAGGACTAGAGCAGTAAAATAGAATAAGCTAAAGACGATGAAATCTCTGAATACTTCTAAAAGTTTGCTAGTAAGATTTCTGGGAAAGGATCTCAAGTATCTCTTCAAAGAATATAAAAGGAGTATGCAGGACTCATGAAATCTAATGAGTTTAAAGATAAGATAAGTATTGATTTTCATCAGAATAATATATATGTGTGGAGAGTGAGCTTTGACATCATGAACTATGAGATAAGCAAAGATCTCTAAAAGGATTTCTAGGAATTGTAACTGAGAACATAGTCGAAAACATAGCCTAAGCTCTAATATGAAATATTCTTTTCTGATACTTATCCTTTTGAAGCTCCATTCATCAGAGTAGTATTTCCTAGATTCTAATTCAGAACAGGACATGTCACTATTGGAGGATCTATCTGTGTTTAAAGTTTAACTCCATCAGGATGGTCGAGTGCTAGATCTCTAGAGAGTTATTTAGTCGAAATCATTTCATTGATAAATCACGGAGATGCTAGACTTGACCTGGGGAATTTATATCCCTATGGACTTATGGAAGCCAAAGAAGCATTCAATAGAGTAGCAAGAGATCACGGTTGGCTAAAGTGATAAAGCTATTGATAGTTCAATCTATCTTATAAATTATTGATGATTAATAAGTTTTAATTTGGATAAATATTAATAAAACTAAGTTAAAATATTTAACAAAAATAAGAACATAATAAACAAAATCTTTTAAGTATAAGTCTATTCATTAATTACTTCTAACTGCCATCATTGAACTTCTCATCTTCTCTTTTGCTATTGCAATTACTGCTGCTGCTAGTTTTAAGGTGGGAATTACTGCCTTACCTATGGATTTTGTTATTAAGGATTGAATGGCAGGGGCTACTGTTAGTTTGGAATTCCCATCTATCTTGGATTCATGGATCCCATAAATTGTTAATGTTAAGGCTGCATAATTCCCTGAGGATTCATTCCTGGCCTTATCATTTATTACTATAGCTAAGGCATCCCAACTTGAGGTGGTCTAAGAGGTGGAATACTAACATTTTGAGGCTAGAACATAGGATTAGGAGGTATCTACTATCTATGTTAAAATTGAACTGGAGGTTAGACTGGTAATCCGACATTCTACATTTGCTAAACAGGATATACTGCCCCAATTTATGGTCTTTGATTCATGGGATTTTAGAACTGCTATTAAGAGGGAGGCATCTACCTAAATTACCCTGGTATTCCTTGCTAGCCTACATATTAAACTTGAGAAGGAGGCATCTATTATTATTATGGAGGTTGCTAAAACATCTGCTACTAACCAGTAGGCATACCATAATTTGGATTGCCTTAGTTTAAGTAATTTGATTAAGCTTATGGTGGCTGTTGTTGATACAAGGGCTGGTTGAATTATTAATTGAGCTATTATTAAGGTGGTTGCATTTAGATTTATTCTTGCTTGATTTCAGGTTAACTTTGCGAAGGAGGATTATGATACTTCTGGATAAGTTCTTCTAAAAATCTTGTAAGCTTTTACTCTTTTTCACCTTTGACTTTGTGAATAATTGGTATAAGTTCAGCTTAAATAGATTGAATATCATACTCATGTTATCTTATTTTGGCTATTAGTCCATCAATATCAATATCATCCTCGTCGTCATCCTCTAATTTCTTTACTAACAGCATCTTTTACTCTCTTGGCTATTAGTTTAGGCTATCATCTTACTTGACAATAATTTATTGTGGATCGCTTTTGAAATTTTATAATTAATGAGGTTACCCAACTTCTTCTTGCTTGACAGATTAGAGTATCTATGCTTTATGCTAATTCTTGGGATTTCCTTCTTCATCAGATGTTATAGGAGAGAAACTCATATCATCTTTTTTTGTCTCCTCTACTCTACCACTAAGATCTAATGCTGCAATTTTTAGAATGGAAGGATTCAAGAAGTTTAGTTTGCTAAAAAGGAAAATGATAATCTAGAAATCAAACTTACTTATTAAATGGCTACTTGATAGCACTAATGACAGCAAAGCAATGAGTCTCTTCTTAGAGAGCTTATTCTAAATCCTGAATGCTATTTTAGCCTTAACTATTGTCCATTTAGATTGTTGGTTCAGGATTGATATTCATCTACTTACAGAAATCCTTAGTTTTTGACGTAATTGGAACTAGATAGAAAGTTAGACCTTAGAATACATTGAAGAGAGCAGCTTTATTTTATTGTTCTAGCTCATCAAATAGTTTAGTGTATTTGTCACTATTTTCTTGCCAATTTCCAGTATTTTGAGAATTGCCTTAAGATAAACCTCCTACGTTGCCTCTCCTAGTTATCCATCCTCTTATTAGTTTCTTCTCTTTTTTAAGTCTCAAGAAGTGTGTTGTGATATCAGTGGTACTTGATTTACCCTTGAGTGTCAATGTTTAAGGTAGTGATGGAAGTAATTGGAATATTTGAATATCGCTATTCGAGAAGAACTAAACAAATGGTTGCTAGTCTCTTTGTACCTCAAGCTAACCTTCCCATACTTTAAGAAGTGAACCTGGAGGGGCTACATTTTTTTCCTTAGATTAACCGACCTTTTGCTGATACCTATCCTTGGGATCAAACATAATCGGTTCAATAGTCTTCTTTTAGTTGAATCTGTTGTAAAGTTATTCTATGACTTCATATGGATTATAGAGCTATACTTATCTCCTGAAATTTTACTAATACCCTTGAGGAGGTTATCCAATATACTGCATCTGTTGTTGGCCCGTGGTAAATTATTGCTGTAGTTATTGATTGAATGGCCTACCAGTGAATGGATCATACAAGTTATTAACTTATGGTACTACTTAATCTTCATCATCACTAAACAGAGCAGGATTACTCCCTAGACTCTCAAGATCATCATCATCATCACTTTCTGAAACTTTAACCCTCGAACCTCCTAAAGTTTCATTTGTTTCTCTGTTATCTTCGACAATTTGCTAAAATTCATTATTGTTCTCAGAATTCTATGATATTCTTACTGCTTCTTGTTCCCTTTGCTTTAGTTCTTCTTATTATTATTATTGCTTTTATTTCTATTCTTGCTTCGCTCTTATTCTTTCTTACCTTCTCTTCTCTGTAACTTCGGCAATTATACTCTTTATATTATCTTTGAATTGAGGATGTGGCTGGAATAGTCTAAAGTAAGGCATAGTCTTTTTAATTGCCACCATTTCAGCGATTTCCTTATATCCTCCTAAAAATTTAATATTCTCACAAGCATCTGCACTTTTCTTTCGGTAGAAATGGTCTACTTCAGGGTGCTTTGTGTACATTTCAGTTTCGATATCAAGAATTAGTTTCTTTTTAGAATCCAAATCTAAGCTTGAGAATACAGGTTCAGTCTAGTCTATTACTTCCTTAAGTTTATGTCTAGTCTGATCTCTAATTCTATTCTTTATAGTCTACAGAGAGTCCTAAAGTGCCCTATCCTGATTGATCAAATTTCCAAAAGAGATGGGTTAGTCGTGGTCTAATCTGCTTGACAATTTACTTCTGGATTGAATAGTTTACTGTGTTTTATTTTACTAAAGTCTATACTCTGCAAGTTGTTTTTTCATTTATTCCTTCTTCTTATCTTCTATTCTTTTTTATTCTCGCTTTTCCTTGCGCTTCTGCTTTCTAAGTTTTTTATCTTTTTTGCGCTGCTGAGTATCTTAAGAGCATCTTTCTACGCTCTCCTCGACTATAATTGGTTGTTATTAAGTCTATTTAGTTCTTTCTTCATGAATCTTTTTAACAGCAGGATTCTCATAGATGAAATCAGAGTTTAAATTTGGAACTATATTTCTTCTAGTTCTATTTCTTGCAAGGTTGCCCGATTTCTTATTTTATTTGGCTTCTCCTTTTGATGATTCCTCATCTGATTCACTGCCTTCATCCCCACTACTTGAACTTGATGATCCACTACCACTACTGCTTCCACTTCCACTAGAGCTGCTGCCTTCTGAGGAAGATCCAGATCCAGAATCATTCCCTGAGGATGAGCTCTATCCATCAGATTCAGATCCCTCATTTTTACTCTCTTTCAAAGATAAAGAATCACTTTTCTTTCTTCTCTTTGTTGATAAAGTCAAATCAATTGTTTGTGGTTCAGGTTTCTTAACTTCCTCTCCTTCTCTTATCTTTCTTTTTCCAAGCTTTATTTTTGCATCTTTATCAGTTAAAAGCTGTGTGAAATCTATAATGGGACATTCTTTCTCAGCTTAATTTTAGATACTTTCAAGATCAATTTCATTCTCTAATTTAGTTATTTTCCTAAAGAGTTCAAGCACTTTGTTACGAATTTATTTGAACTCAGAGTGAGTTACTTCATCTTTTATATCATCTCTTATACTCTCATATGTCTTATCTAGATCCTTGAATTCATCATATTAAAGCTTTTTATTGTTTTGCTTAAAATTCAACAATATCAGCCTTATTTCTGCTTCAAAGATTAGTGTTTTGACATCGTTCTCTTCGTTTTCCATATCGATCTCGATCTCAGTGAATATCTTTTTTGAGTTTTCCAGTTTATCTCGTATCTGATCCTGATTCTTCTCAATATCATGTTGTTTAATTTCTTATAAAATCGCTCTTATCTACTCTAGTTTTTCTTATGATTAAGCTACTTTTTCTTAAGCCAATTCTATTTCTTTAATGCCACAAATGTTGCAATTCTTTTTAAATAGCTTCAAATCAAATTATATTCTGCTGTATCTTAGTCTTTTAGGCTGCTCCTCTTCCTTAATTCTCAAGGCATTTTAAGCTTCATGTTCAGTGAAAATCTTTTTCAAATTTAGCTTGATCATTTCAGCAGTGTCTATTCTATCCATTAGTCTGAAATAAATTTCATTGTAATCAATAGGTGAGAGGTACATTATCCTTTGTACATCTTTCATTTTATCAAGAGTCATATCACTAACTAGAGAATTTTCTTGATATTATTGAGAGTATTTATCAAAGTCCTTTACCCAATGCTCTAGCGATCTTATCTCCTCAATGAGATCCACCTTAGACTATTTTGCTATTTCGAGCATCTTCAAAATTTTTACTTTAGGATTTTTATTTCTGAAAAAGGCATAGTTTTGCTGTTTATCTAAATTAAACTTAGCAGCCCATTATTTTTAATTCGTCTTTTACTAATTTACAAATTCAATTACTTCCTTTGCTTATTAAGCTTCCCAAATAATTCTTTAGAAAATAGAATGTTGCTTAATATCTTTGAAGTATTGCTAAAAGCTATCTGCCTATAATACCATTTTATCCCAGGTGCTCAGGGAAAGAGGTTCGTCTAATTTGGTAGATTCAAGCATATCAAGGCATTAGAGTAACCAATTATAGCTCTATACTCTTACATAAGATTCTTTGTCATAAATAGCCATCTTCCTCATTTTCTTTTGTAGTTCCATGAATTAAGTTTTTAGTTTTTCATCTTTGATGGACATTTCATCAGCTTATAAATGATACAGAAGCTCAGTAGCCTCTTTTCTCCATTCTTCATAAGCCTTAATATCCTCCTCAAGTATTTTCTCATCGTAATTATAAGCTTGATCTTTTTCTATCGATAAACTTTTGCATTCTTCAATGAGTTACCTAATGAACTTGCATGTAAACTTATTACTCTCAGAAAGCACATTAGTAGTGATACTTTTCTTTTTAATACTCTCTCTAAGTCTCATGTAATCATCATACTCACGGGTAAATTTTACAAATCTATTTTTTCTTTGTGTCAAGAATTACTTAATATTTAGCTCATCTGGTATCTCTTTTTCGATAGCTTATTATGACAAAATCATAACTTAGTCTAAAGGTAAATTATTATGATGCAGATCTTAAACTTCTCGATATTGGCGTAAAAAGTCTATCCAAGTGTGTAATTTTTGAAGAATGCTGAAATCCCCGCCATCTGAGGTTATCTAAAATTTATCATCAAAATCTGATTAATTATTTAAGTGAATGACTTACTTTATTAAGATTAAGTACATTTATTAACTGTTAAACTTCATCTTAGAATTAATCAAATATTCCCCTGTCATCTTTGCTCTATTCATACAATTCCTCAAGTGTTTTTATAAGCTTCTTTCTATCTCCAAATTTACTTTCAAATGATCTAATAGTGTCTATGATCTTAGAGAACTGATTGAAGTATCTTTCGAAGATATTTTATTTTTAAATCTCTTTTTCATAAACTATCCCAGCTACTTGAGCCCTTTCATGCAAATCTTTTACCTTGCTCATATCGATCTACTTATCAGTTTACTATAGCATTTTTCTGAGCTCTGATAACCATCTTACACCTGAAAGAGATTTCCAGAGATTTGCCGCAGCTCCCACTAGCTAATCAGCTGGCATTTTCGTCTTAATAAGCTACTCAACCTCTTTTTAATCGTGTATGACTGTTGATAACTAAGTAAACTCTTTGAAATCTACCTAGTTCAAGGATTTCCCTGCTATTTTCTTGAGTCTTTCGTAAGTTTGAATAAACCAATCTTCTGACTGTGGGATATTATTTATTATCTCTTGCTCGTTTTTCATTTCCAAAAAGTGATCCTTATTTGCCTTGCTTACAATTTTCTTGAGATCTTACAACATAGTTTTTGAGAAGTTGTCTTGATTTTGCTTTAAAATCTCATTGAATTCTTTTTTTAAATCTTAAGCCACTTTTACCTTTGCCCTCAACATCATCATCATTTCAAATTCTAACTTAAGCGGGCATTCTTAATTCGGATTAGTTAGCAATTCAATTCACTTCATTAGCTCTTCCAGCATCTCAATATTTTGTTTATTCTTTGAATCATTCGTTACTGCTTAATTTACTTCAGACATTAATCTTAACTTTTATTTCGTCTCATTAATCTCTTTTGAAAAATCTACGTTTTCTATATATCTTAGTTCTTTTAAGTAATTTTATAGAGTTTTCTCATCATGCTTGTCCTACTTAATCACTCTCAATGACATTTTTAATCTTTCTACTATCATTATCTTTTCTTTAACTTAATTGTATAGCTACAAGTCAAAATATATCTTCTTCTAATCTGCTTCATCTAAAAGTAGTTAGGCACTTGCTAAAGTCCACTAATAATTTTTATTATTTTGCTTAATGCTATTTCCTTCATCAATATCCATACTTGATCCCTCTTACTAACTTTGCTAAACTTCATCTACCCAAAGCTGTAAGTTCTCATATTTTTTATCCTTAATAAAATAAGAGGCACGTGAGTTCCATAAGCTACTTTGATGCCATTTTTACAATAAATTTTCAATATTTTTTGTCTTTAAAGGCATGCATGCCAGAACTTTAAATGCTGTAAGTATATTTTTAACTGGCTTGTTATTGGATCTCTCCATCTTATTAATTTCTTTTTCCGCCTTCTCTATTTTAACTATTGTTGAATTAATTTATTTTAGATCTTCTGTAATATCAACTCTCAATCTTTAGCCGTCTAAGACCATCTTCAATCCCTCTTCGCAAGTTTATTTCTTTACAAATACTTCTTTTAAATAGTGAAATCTTCTTTCCTAAAGATCAATACCTCTTTTGGACTTCTTGAAATTCTCAAATTTATTCTCTATTTTCTCATCAATAATCACGTTGCTCTTTAGTTTTTCAATACATTATTGTTCCCATTCCTGATATTCACTTAATATCGAACTTAAATGGCTAAATGCTTTGAATTGATGCAGTTATTACTCTTAAAGAGAATCTATTATATCTTATACTTCTTCAGGCTCTGGCTTTTATTTTTGAACTTTACAAATTTAGTTTGCTTCTTACAAAACTTTATATCTTTCACTAGCATTTTTTAGCTCAATCACTTCATCGTTTATGAATTTTTCATCATTTAAAATTTTTAAGTAGTTTTTTTGAAGTCTATCAAGTAATCCTTTGTTAAATTTTATATTCTCTTAGTTTAATTGCAATTTATCATCTAGTTCTTCTTTAAACTCAGTCTCACTTTTCTTTTTTAAATCTGCTATTAGTAAACTTACTTATACTCGACTTGTCTTTAGTCTTTATTTTAATTCAGCCTCAATTTCAAAACTAGATAAAAACAACCTTCGACCAATTTTCAAATGCTCCTCAATTAGGCTTTCTGAAGTAACTTCTTCAATAAGATAACGACTCAATTGATGCCATGCCTTGGTATAGAGAATTTATTCAAATATCTTGCTCTCAGTATTTAATGTTTCCTGATCAGTAAAATAGATACCATCAAAATTCCATTTAGAGTGATCTTCATTCGTCAGTTCATTATATGTTTTTCTTTTTAATACAATATCTAGCAATGGATTCTATATCTTATCAATCCATTGTTCACACTTTTTGCATCGATATTTATTCTCTTTTTCGAACGGTTGTGTACAGCTCTCGTGATACCAGATATTGCAATATTCACAAATAACCATGCCGCTATCTGGAGATTAGTTATCGCAATAACAATAATAGGCATGCTAAACATAATGCTCAGTACAGAGAATCTAAAATACTATTTCAATCTAATCTTCAGAGAAAAATAATTAATACATCCATCGATTATTATTCTTTGATTCTCCTTCCTCGTCACTAATTGACTGGTAGTAGTAATATTCCTTCAGTAAATTCATAATGCAATAAGCATGAGCAAACTTGTCACAATCTTTGATAGAGCATTCAACCAGCTTTCCATTGCCCTTGCAAATAGTGCATGTTTATTTCTTTTATATCCAATCCTCTAAAAAATGCTCTTTAGAATGTCTTAATTTTAACTCCATTTTAATTGGATCACTTAGGTAGAAGTTGTCCTTAAAGCTAAAAGCACATATTTGATGAATAAACATGTACTCATCTGCACCTTGATCATCAGGCTTATCAATTTTGACAGCCTTTATAAAACCCGAATCAAAGTTACAAGCAACACATTTTGTGATTAAAGTTCTGTCCTTCTATTTAAGAGAACATCTCTCGCATTTGAATATAATGTATTTATAATTGTGTCTGATGATTTCATATAGGTCAAAACCTTCACCAAGACAATTCAGATGAACAGGAACAGTACAATCCTAACAGTACACCAACTAATAGAGCACTATTAATTAAAAGTTATTTGGAAAATTATACTTACGCTTTGCCTCCTTTTGTTCATCAGTAAGTTCATCTTCATCAAACGACTCATCTTCATCTATATGATCATCTGCTTCACTTTAATTATCAATAATTAAAGGGTACTTCATCACCTAGAAGCAAATTTGGCACATCTGATTCGAACTATCATTTTCTTTAAACCCATTAAATTTTATTCTTTATTTGCTCTCCATTTAGCTCTCATTTTTAATTCGATCTTGAAGGACTATTTTGTCAGATTTTACTTTATTCTCAGAAGCTACTAAGCCTTTGAATTTCCCACTTTTTTATTGTTATCTCTTGTTCTTAATTTCTTCAGATTAATCATTGTTATGAGCAGATTCATCTTTCATCTCTTCATCATCACTCAAGTCAGGTTTTTAATTGGTTTTCTTGAGATCCCCCTTGATTTGGCCTCTCCTCTAGGACAATTTATCCTAGGATTTCTACCTCTCTATACATTAATGGTTAATATATTTTTATATAAATTAAGTATTAAGTAATTGATATCATCATTGCATGGATGCTAATATACACTCATTAATATATCATCAGTATTCAGTGACTCAAATGACTGAGGACTCATTTAACTCTCCCATGCTCAGAATTTAAACTTGTAAGATTAAATTTCTTACATTTTGAGTTTTACTACTGATTAGTTGACATTTCTTCCTATTTTTAGACTTATTATGGCTGCTTCTTTATCTTTGAACTTAACTTGACAGTTTCACTCTTAGACTACTCCTCAGTTGGTTAACTTGATCTAAGAGGTTGTCTTCTTGTACTAGAAGTCCTTTGCGATATTTGCTGCTTATCTTTAGCTGCTAATTTCTGTGACTACATATTTATTAATAATTATAATATCAATAATTATTATTTTATGTTGAATCCTAGCTCAAGGGGTTTTGGGGTTTTGGGG